ATATATATATATATATATATATATATATATATATATATATATATATATATATATATATATATATATATACACACACACACACACACACACACACACACACACACACACACATTTATTTATTTATTTATTTATATAACCACAATATGATGTTTCTCATTGGCAATTGAATAAAATACAGGGAATATATTTGTGTTTCAATTCACAATTAGAACAGCTGTTCACTGTGACTTTATCCTATATAATTTCTGTTTAGAACATGGTGTTATCTGTTCTGACATACTGTGTTAAAGCATTTGTAAATTTGACAGTAAAATTACATTGTTTTGTTTTTGGTTGTGCTTGTGTGTAAAAGAAGTTAAAGCATTTTAAATTTGTGTTAACTGGATGCATTTTGTGTCAAAACAACAAGAAATGTGTTAATTGTATAGCCCACGAAGACGGATGTTGTGCTAACTGTGTTAAGAGTTTAGAAAACTTGTTAAATGTATTGATAAAAGTGTCATAGCAATTGTAAAAAACTGTAATATCTGTTATGTTGACGCGGGATCTGAGTGGAATTGTTTACCGCAAGCAAGCGCATGACCATGGAGCAGAGCTGAGCGTCACACCGCTTAGCTCCGCTCAAATGCTCTGGCGGCTACAGTGTACATCAGTTCAGTATGTTCACTGTGTTACATAACTGCCCCCTGCTGGCCATGTATTTCTTTTGTTAGACCATGTTGTGCTGTGCCGCAGTTTACTGCAGTGACGTGCGACATCACTTTAGATCACTCGTGTATTCTCAGTAGCCATCTCTGCAATGACTCAAATCACTTAATAGTCATCTGGAATGGCAAAGAAAGATTTCTTGCAGGACTCCTAGAGTTCATCAAGATTCTTTGGATTCATCTTCAATGCCTCCTCCTTCGTCTTACCCCATACATGCTCAATAATGTTCATGTCTGGTGACTGGGCTGGCCAATCTTGGAGCTCCTTCACCGTTTTTGCTTGCAGGAGCTTTGATGTGGAGGCTGAAGAATGAGAAGCGCTATATCCTGCTGAAGAATTTGCCCTCTCCTGTGGTTTGCAATGTAATGGGCAGCACAAATGTCTTGATACCTCAGGCTGTTAATGTTGCCATCCACTCTGCAGACCACTCGCACATCCTTATACTGAATGTAACCCCAAACCATGATTTTTTTCTTCACCAAACTTGACTGATTTCTCTGAGAGTCTTGGCTCCATCTGGGTTGCAATAGGTCTTTTGCATTTGTCATACTTGTCTGCTTAGTATCACTGGTAGCTAAACTACAGTACATTTCTTTGTGAATTGGGAATATGTTCAGCAGGTGTGATGCTAAATGTCACAGAGTATGAAATGTCACTGATCTTGTTCATTGAACTGCAGGCTAATTCATACTCTTGCCTGCTTTACTTCAGATCTTGTTTTATGTGACATTACAGCGGGTTTGTTCGTAAAGATGACCGGTTACTGATCTCAATACAATTTTAGAAAAGCTCTGCGTTCACAAGTTAACTAATCAACTAATATCAGAGACGGAAAATCTAATATTACAACACTTTGACGTGTTTGGATGATATTTTTTATTTTCACAAATGCAAAAAAATAAAAGCTGTTTTTATAAGTGAATAGTATTGTAACGAGGACACTGACACGGAGGGATCCATTATGCAGTATTTATTTATCAAGCTCTCACTCAAACACACAATATGCACCAATGTGTAAACACACATCAACAAACGTCTTAAAGGTATCAAGACTGGTGGTAAACGGACACAGAGGGATTTACCAGACATGGGTCAAAGGCAGGCTGCGTGAATCAGAGTCTGTGTATTAGGCTTGGGTCGTGGGCAGGCAGCGAGTATCAGAGTCCGTGTATCAGGCTTTGGTCGTGGGCAGGCAGCGAGTATCAGAGTCCGTGTATCAGGCTTGGGTCGTGGGCAGGCAGAAGGCGAAGCAGAGTCAGAAACAGGCTGGAGTTGTACACAAGAGATCAGGCAGGAACTAACGCTCAGTAATGCTGGCCGGGGCTAAACAAGACTTCGCACTGACTGAGTGTTTGGAACAGGCTTATAAAGGGTACGTGGGTCGTTAGCTTG